AGGAGGAGACAGGAGAAGTGTCTAAGATTACAAGCGAACAGCTTCCTTTCGCCGCCTTGCTGTTTGCAGAGCCTTTTCAGACCCTTCCTGTCATTGAATCCTCCCAAACAAAGCAACAAAAACAAAGCAACTTGCCATCCAGTGGCTTCCAACTCGTGGCGACCCCGTGTGTTACGGAGGAGAACTGAGCTCCATTGGGGTTTCAAGGCTGGGAGTTTTTGGAAGGAGATGACCTGGTCTTTCTCCCAGGATGCTTCCAGCTGGGTCCAAACCCCCAACCTTTTGGCAAATGAGTAGAGCACATGACCATTTTGGTGCACACACACACACCCCACACCCCCGCCCGTGTTGTTGTTGTTAGGTTCCATCGAGTGTTAGGTTCAACTCAGAGTGACAACAGTGTGTACCCAATGCTGCTGCCTGTCCTCCATCTCATCGAAGGCCTTCCTTCTAATAGGTTCTTGTTAAAGACCAAGAAATCTACGTTCGGAGAAACTAAGTTAGTTGCCCAGAGTGGGGTTTGCCAGATTCAAACAGGCATCTTCTAAACTCTGAAACTCATCCCATCTACACCGTTGCATTCCAGATACAGAAGGAGCACCTGCTCCAAATGCTGCACGCCGGCTGGCAAGCAGTGTGTGCCCTCTAAGGCCTGGCAGGAGTTCTAACCAGCCGGCCACACCCCCTCACAGCTTTCTGTACTGAGCTGCTGGAGGCCTGTGCACGCAGGGGAAGGGAGCAACTGCCGCAGGAGCAAAAGCAACACCAGGGATTTAGTCAACGGAGAGCCAACAGAGGGGGCCGCTGCCCAGCACACAAATGGGATCCTCAGCTGCATTACTAGGAGGCAGCGTCTGGAGCAGGCTGAGGGAGAACCCTGTCCTCCCCTGACCATACCTGAGGCCACTGAAAGGGAGGCACCCTCCAGGGCACGGGCAGGTGTTCTGAATAGGAGTGGCTCTGGGTGGCCCTGCGGTTGGGAGGGCTCACCAGGGAGATTAAGTTGGTACAATAAGCCCACCTTATTTAGACTGCATGGTATAGAGGTGGCTATTTCTACAAGGTCCTTTATCCACACTTTTTTTTTAACTCGTGTCTTATTTTTTTTAACCGTTTTATTAGGGGCTCATACAACTCTTATCACACTTTGTAAAATATTGGGACACCAGTGACCAGCCATGAAAAAATTGTAAACTCATGCCATCAAGTCAATTCTGACTCCGAGCAACTCTATTTAGGGTTTCT